TGCCAATTCAAGAAGCACACTCGGCTAACATGACCAGTGGATCCTTGCGCTACTTCTGGGGATTCGCTAACAGTATACCTTGCACAGTAATCCGAGATACAGGCGCGACACTAATTGGTGTACACAGAGCATTAGTGCAAGAGAAAGACTATACAGGAGAGCACATTGTGTGCAGAACTTTTGGAGGTAATAAGGAAAGATATAAGGTAGCTCTAGTAAAAAAAAAATTGCCCCTTTTACACCGGCATAACAAAGGCAGCAGTACTGCCCGCGCCATATGCCGGAATACTCATTGGTAATGTACCAAATGTAAATACTGATGAGGAACAGTTTCCTAACGTAAATGCTGTCACAAGACAGCAAACGCAAAAACAAGAAGATAAAGCACAGACAGATCTGATTCAATCCATCAGCATCCCTAACCTGGAAACCCCAGCAGGTGGTCAACCCTCATTTTCAGAACTCCAGAGGACGGACCCCACATTAAAGAAATGTTTCAACCTCGTAAATGAAAAGCCTAGAATTTCAAAGTCTGGTAGATGGTGGTTTACACTGAAAAAGGATATCATGGCAAGGGTGTATAAAAAAGGAACGATGACAGTATCACAAACGGTGCTGCCGGAACAGTTTCGCAAAAAAGTACTAGAAATGGCACATGATGCGCCGTTTTCTGGTCATATGGGAACGGCTAAAACAAAATCAAGAATCCTGTGGCAGTTCTACTGGCCAGGGTACAGCAAGGACACAAAAACCTTTGTTCGAACCTGTGAGATTTGTCAAAAACAGTCACAAAAAGGAAAAGACCCAAAGGCTCATATCCAGGTGACTGACTTAGCATCTAGACCATTTCAAAAAATTGCAGTGGACATAATCGGACCATTAAATGTTACCTCAAACAAGAGAAACAGATATATCCTTACAGTAATAGATCTGTGTACCAGATGGCCTGAAGCGATTCCGCTTCGAAATATTACAGCTGAGGCTATTGTAGAAGCCTTCATACACATTTTCTCAAGAATCGGCTTCCCTAGAACAATTCTATCCGACAGAGGAACACAATTTATCTCTGCTGCCACACAAGCAGTCACTAAAATGATGGGTATTAAACAGCAATTTGCGAGTCCATACCACCCACAGACAAATGGTATTGTAGAAAACTTAAATGGTACATTGAAACGAATGTTGGCAAAAATTTCAGCTGAACGCCCCGCAGACTGGGACATATTTCTACCAGCCATCCTGTTCGCCTATAGAGAGGTGCCGCAGAGTAGTACAGGACATTCCCCATTTGAGTTGGTCTATGGAGCCAACCCCCGTGGACCATTGCAAATTTATAAAGAACTAATTACGGGGAAAGTTGAAGACCAGCCAACCATAGATGCTTATAATATGGTCATCAGTTTACGGGAGAGGATTATAAAGTCCTGCATGGCTGCAAAACAGGCCCTTGAAACCTCGGGTACTGTGTACAGACAATATGCAAATAGAAAGGCTAAGACAGTTGCCTTAAAAGAAGAAGAAGAAGTGCTTTTACTATTACCACTTCCATCTGATAAACTGTCAGTATCATGGCAAGGTCCATACAAGGTAACCAAAAAAATTTCGGATGTGGATTACGAGATACTGGTGAAAGGCAAGCCAAAAATCTTCCACATTAACATGCTAAAGCCATTTAAGATTCGAGATGAGCTACAACCCCCCAGGCATATAAACGAGCATATTGCGTCTTTAGCCTTAACCATCAATGAGCAACAGGAAGACACTATAACTGACCAAATTCCTACACCTTCAACAACAGTCGAATCGTCGTGGAAAGATATTAAAGTCAACAGCGAAATTCCTCATGAGGATAGAGCACTACTAATGAAGATCCTTCAACAGTTCCATGACATCTTTTCAGATACGCCAGGCAGCACATCGGTAATCAAACATCACATAAGACTCACAACAGAAATACCAGTTAAGACAAAACCATATCCCATTCCGCTGCACTATCAAAAACAAGTAGAGGCTGAAATATCTGAATTGGAAAAATGTGGTATTATTAGGAGGTCATCTTCCAACTATTCATCACCGCTGGTTATCGTCAAAAAGAAAGACAGTACACTCAGAATCTGCGTGGATTATCGTAAAATAAACGCCATTACCCATTTGGATGCTGAACCAATCCCAAATGCAGATGAACTTATTGCAACCATGTGCCAATCACAATTCTTTTCAAAATTAGACCTCACTAAGGGTTACTGGCAAATTCCAGTTACCGAAGAATCAAGGCATATTACTGCATTTGCCACACCGATGGGATTGTTCGAATGGTGCAAAATGCCTTTTGGATTACAAAATTCTCCTGCAACATTTGTTCGCATGATGCGCATTGTACTTAAGGACATTAAGAATGTTGCCACATATATGGACGATATTTGTATTCACAATGCAAATATGCAGGACCACATTTCTTCCTTAACCCAGGTATTTAAGAGATTAAGAGAATTCGGCTTGAAAGTAAAACCCAGTAAAGTAGAAATCGGGTTCACAAAAATTGATTTCCTGGGTCACAAGATCGGCAATGGATTCTTACAAACAGATGACAAAATTATTTCAAAAATATTGGATATTAAAGCCCCAACAACAAAAAAGCAAGTTCGATCAATGCTGGGACTGATAAACTATTACAATAAATTTCTACCTGACTTTGCTGGCATGACAGCAGCATTATCTTCACTCGTTAAGAAGGGATTGCCTACAAAGATAGCATGGACCCCGCAGCTGGAACAAATTCTGACCAATATCAAAACAGCTTTCTCGAAATCACCAATCTTAAAGTTACCTGACCTCGAAAAACCCTTCATCTTACAGTGCGATGCAAGTGGGTATTCCATATCATGTATTTTATTACAGGAACATGAGAACATTCTCCACCCAGTACTTTATTCCAGTCGGAAGCTGTCAGAAGCAGAGAAACGTTACGCCACAGTTGAACTTGAAGCACTTTCTCTTGTGGTGGGAGTTACGAAATTTGCAAAATATTTGCTTGGCAGGAAGTTTATAGTACAGACAGACAACAAACCACTGACAGTCTTTAAAGAAGGAACACCGAAGAATCATCGTATTTACAGATGGAGTCTACTTTTGCAGAACTACAGCTTTGAATTAGTCCACATCAGTGGCATAAATAATGCCCTGGCTGACATCCTGTCACGTCTTTAAACAGATGCATGACATGAAAACAAGAAATACATTTTTTTTTTTTTTTAAAAAAAAAAAAAAAAAAAAAAAAAAAAAAAAGAAGGATGAATGGCTGTCTGTTGAATACATGGAATATGAATGAAAGGCTTTTGATAATACTTACAGTAATTAATTCATGAATATTCTTTTGTCTACAAACCCCTCTGTTGCAGAAATTAACCCCCCCCCCCCCCCTTCCCTACCTTTTGTATTTCCCCCAATTCTAACTCCTTAGCCTCAAATGTCCTAGCTATACTAGCTATTCCCTCCCCATTTACTGTCTTGTGTCATTAGCAAACATTAGAGAATACTCGGTTCATATGCATCACATCTTATGTCACCGCTGATTAGGAGAGAGGTATTATCAATTATCATATGATCATGATGGGGCTGTAACGGCCTAAGAGTAAAGACATACTTAGTACATACGGCAAACCAAAAGTAGGCAGGGTAACTAGCCTGGATAAAGGGGCAAAAGACACGGGCCATTAAGGAAACAACCTTCAACCAGATGATGTTATGCGGTACAAGGAATAGCATGGGTTAGCATCAGAAATGTGTTAGGACCTTCATAAATCCAGGATTTATACTAGTATAGATAGAAAATGGTAATGACATGATACATGCAAGGTGACCAGACAATCTATCTAGAGATTTACACACGGGTAGCACCAAAAGAACATAACACGGGGTGCAATAACGAACCATGAACAGAAATGATACATAGTATCATTTTGAAAAGCGGGGGTGAAACTGTCATGAGTCAACTTTACCACACACTATGAGATAAAGACAAACAATGACTAGACTGACTCATAACAGCAGACAGGTCAATTACTCGTCAGACGGGTTGTGTGTAGAGCCGCACGGCGAAACAGGTAACTGAGTGGGGAGGTTACAGGGGGACTGGACAAACAGGTAGAGTGACACACGGCAGTTAGTAGTTGGACAGTCCAGTGAACGGATGTGTTTGTTTGGGGCCCTTTTAAAAGGTGGGAATTGTTTTTCGCTTGGAATGGACTGGATTTAAAACTGTGAACAGAACAGTAGTGGTTATTCATACTGGTGACAAGTGTTTCTGTTGTATAGCCGGATTATAAAGTTAAGTGTAGTAGTTAGGAGGATACGTAATTATTGCTATAGAGGCATCAGCTAGCCTCTCATGACTTTGTTCATATTTCGAGGATGAGTTTGTGATCAGCTATACCAGCGTGCTGTTGATGTATTTAGCCAGTGACTACCTGAGATTAGTGTGCTTATGAACCATACGAATAAAATCTGTGGCTACTCAGTAGTCGATAACGTTGTGCGGAAGCCATACTAACTTTGCAATTATCATGAGTTCTTAAAAAAACATACTAACTTTGCAGTTATCAAGAGTTTCTTAAATAAACATTATTTAAGAACTGGAACAAGGTCATCAGCGTTTACATGTTCATGGAAGTGTGGGTACACCTGGCACAAATAACAATTGTACTTGTGTCACACCTATAAAAGGTGTCTGACAATATATATATATAACATAATTTCTATGATTTTGCAAAACGCATTCTTTATTTTTTCTTCCAGTAAAAATTAAACGGCAGTATTTTGCCTTTTTCCAGATATTTGAAAGATATTTATTTTTCAAAGATTTCTGCTGGAATAACTAAAAATAATGGGAATCTCTGGGCTTTAAATAGTTTAGGGCCTCTTCGGGTCTAAATGCAGCCCTGCTTGTGTCACAAATGCACGGCACTACGGAGTAATGGTGATAATTTTTTTTCTTCTTACAGCAGGAAAACCAGACTGGAAGCCATGGTTGACGACCTATGTGTCCTGGTCACTGAAAGGCCAACCATGTGCAACAATCCACACGCGCTATATTTGCATCTTCGCTATCGGCGATCTTCCAGATCTGATGCAGAGATACGAACTGTTTGCCAACAAGTTTTACATCACACACCAACCTGCTGCTCTCCATTGCTTAGACGAACTCTTGTTCAATCTCACTTTCACCAGATCTACGCGCAACCTGACCTACTACAACAGTCTTCCGTTCATTTTAAAAGGCAATGTGAGTGTTTACTAATTGTTTCAGTCTCTCAAAATGATAGCTGATGTCCAAATGACAGCAACACAAACATGGGTATATTATATCCACATGTTCTGAATATACAACCCTTGGTGGAGACTGGTGTATGGTTGGGTATTTTACTACCCCTGTCTAAACATAAAGTATACAGACATAATAATGTGATTGTTGCACATGACTGCCACGTTCAACCCCACCAGGATCGCACAACGGACGATAAACACTCGGTGACACAAAGTGCCACCACTCAGATGCACATAGCCCGGGCGCTAGTCACAAAAATCCTATTCAGTCCGTAGTTTATATTTAGGAGCCACAACGACAGGTGGGGCTTTAAAAATACCACGTCCCATATGTGAGGCCGATAATGCTGCCAATGAGTAAATGAGGTCACGCATGGTGCGTTGTTCTGTACTCAAAGAGTTGAAATAAAAAATAATTAAAAAATTGCATTTCTATTAGGAATATTCTCTGATGTTAACAAAGTCGCATCTTGTAAGTAAGAGGAGGTGTCAACTTGAAACATTAAAAGTGTGATAAAAATTACAATAAACATTCTATTGTCTTGTTAACCTGACTCTGTTATTAGAGATTTATAGCACTTGTTATCAGGTTGCAACTGAACACGGTGACGTCATAATGACAGTTTAAAAATGGCAACCCCACTTCTGTCATGCACAAATGAGGAGCAGCGTTTTTTTTTTTTTTTTTTTTGGCTCAGCTCTTCCTAACTGCTGTGGACATCGGGTTAGTTTGTAACCGTTGGGTGGCCCCAGTTTAACTTTAGAGTTGAACCGATACTATATGGTTTGTCCCTAGTGTAATTCTCATCTGAACATTGAAATTCAGCTCTGTGTATCGCCAGGTGATAATAGATCAGAATAGGGAGATTGTAGAGGTTCTTCTTTATTCACTCGACTCACTCTTTACTTCCACAGCGTTCTGTTAACTGATTTTTTTTTTTTTAATAAGTGAGCGGGTGAAACCTATAGAAATGCATAGGTGAATGAAAGTCCAGTAAGGTGGTGCCTGCCTATCAATCCAACAATTGGCGGTTTTCCTTCAGTGGCTGTAATCGACTTTTGGGTTGCCAGCTGGAACAGTCTGTGACAGAAGTCACGCCTTCTGGAAACTTCCTAACTCGCTCATATATTTGCTGCAAACAACCTGCTGACAACAATAACCTAAAAGACAATCTTTTTCATTGCACGTACTATAGTCTCATTCGAAACAATGACTTTGAAGTGAAGAAAGTTCGTGATAAATACTGATTCGTTCCAGCCCCCCTCCCCCAACCCTCTTCCTTCCTTCAATTTAAAATTGAATGAATTTGAAAAACAAAAATCCCAAACGTTACTAAAGATTTGAACCCAGGTATCCCCTTGAGAGCCCAGAATTCTTACCGTTTGACCAGCCGCTTCTAATAATTTACGTGTTGAAATTTTGGTCTAGATCGTGCTGCATGTCAAAATGAATTTAAAAAAATTATGCAGCTTTGAATCCAAAACCATCCACTGCGGTATACCAGCTAATGGTTTGCGGACAGGCTTGCGGACAAACTTGCACAAAAAAATGCGACAAAAGAAACAACACACTCATCCATTGTCATTATCATTAAAAAATTACTTATCAAGGGAAATGCACCAAACTGTGGAAAGAACAAACCAACAGTAAACATCAACAGGATCTCATCAACAGACTCAGCAGAAAAAAAGAGAAGATTTTTCTGTCGACGAACTGGACACTGCAGGTACCACATGCATTCAAATAAAGCCTGAACAGTCCCCACCGTGTGCATGTCAGATAGAAATACAAACACCTCAGCACATTCTAAAGGCTTGACCACTATACTTGCAACTACGAAGAGAAACTTTCCCTCAAGAACAAAGTATAGAGATCAAGCTATGGACAACCACGAAGGACCTGCAACTCACATGCGATTTCATAGAGGTGTCGCGTGCCTAATGTAAGGATTTCTCCTTCAGAACCAACAGCACTCAGAGATAATTATGTTGAGTCGTTTGGCTCGTATTGGTCTAAGGGATTCCCCGTGGCCAATATACGCTCAACTTATCTCTGGAGTAGGGCAACTCAAGTATTGGCACTACAAAATATATCAGTATATAACTACAATATTTCTAGGCACACTTGGCTGGACACCCCCACTACTTACTAAAGAAAGCCCCCAGGTTATGATAGTTCATTATCATAACCATGTTAACACATATAATGAAGAGACATACATACACAACTGCTAAACACTTAAAAAGGTGAAATAGAAACACCTAAGTCAGCCATGAAAATGAATGCATGTAATCAATATAAAATAGATATATAAAAGTGAGACAATTGCCAGATCTCCTAGGCTAGATCTCAGGATATCCTGTCCAAATCACAAAGATACTACACAGACAGAAGGTCTTGGAGATGACATCTTGTCATCATTGGACACTCTAGGAGCTGTGAGGAATAAAGCATATAAGGCGTCAAACTGCACTTAGCCTCTTTCTGTCTATGATGCCTCCCTCAGCTCCTGATGATTCGACTGTCTTTGACTCTGGTAATTCTGCTCAACTGGATCAGGTAGTGAAAGAGTACTTCACCATAGAAGACACAGCAACTGTACCGGTATTTAGCAAGTCTCTATCACCAGTAAGGACACACAATGTCTTTGAGCCACACTAAGCTCTAGCACTGGTAGCTGTTTGAGGTACCATCTCCCACATGTTGGAGATGTCAGGAACCTTCACAGGTGTTAGCTGGTGGGTAACCGTTCGTTTCTGGTGGTTTGATGGTTGGTGGATGTTGGTTGGACTGTGAATCTTCTGCCAGCTCTTCAGAAAATATACATCCCAAGCATATGTAAAAACTGAGACATTCCAGATTGCCTTGAAAAGTGAAATTTATACAGGCACAGATTAACACATCTGGACGCTTGAGAAGCTGGCAAGGAGAATAGCGTCACTTAGACACTTCAGGGCGTTGGTAACAAAAGAAGTCCCTTGTATACTTGGGCAAGGAGTAAATCGGTTTCCACGAAACCTCAAATAACTCCCTTAATATATCTCCAAGAGATATACATTTAAAAGTGGAGTTTAGTTAAAGTAACCAGAAAAGGCAGACATAATAATGTTGTCCAATACAGGCCTATATTTATAGATATAAGGGACTATATATTTCTGGGCGAGTCCAAGTTTGAATTTTGTGCAGATTACAGGTAAGACAGGTTATCAGCCTTACAGACCGATGCGTAATGGCTATCATTTCACGACAAGAGGCAGCCCACTTGGCAATCTGACCTGAGCATTTGCAACCGAACGGAAAGAAGAAGAAGAAGAACCCAAGACAAGCATCTAGTCATTTCGCTACAGCAGCTCCCAAACTATACTGAAAAGCATCAAAATGAGTCCCAGGATATATGATAAAAAAAAACAATAACTGGTGTTATCAGTCGCAACACGCCGAGAGATACACTTAAGATGACATCGTCATCATAATGTGCCCTGCCAGCTGGCGTTGGCACTCATGCATCTCCACAGATCACGATCCCTGGTTGCCTGGAGCAGCTCTCTTTTTGATATCCTTTCAGGCCATCGTTTCAGCCAGCCAGCATCGTCTTTCTTTGTCTGTCTCTACATCTCTTTCCACTGTTCTTTCCAGTTGTCACGATGTTTTCCAATGCCTCTCTTCTCATTAAGTGGCCAAAGAACAGTGTTTGTCTGCTTCTTATTGTTGCATAGAGAGATAGATCTATTTTCATTAGCTTCTTTCGAACAATCGTTATTAGTTACTTTGGCCGTCCAAGGTATTCGTAACATTCGTCTCAGAAACCACATCTCTGTTGCTTCAAAATTCTCCCCATTTGTTCACTGACATTCTAACATTCGCTGCCTTACAGCAGAACAGGTTCTATGTAACATTTTAGCACTCTCTTTCTGATATTAAATGAGACCGACTTATTGCATAAGATATTTTAGATTTTCTGAAATGCTAACTTCGCTTGACCTATTCTGCTTTTAATCTGTCGTCACACGTTTTCCATCTGATGTTATGATTGTTCCCATGTATTTGAATTTATTGAATTAGCTAAGCCTTTTTTTCTTTAATTGAGATATCATAGTGTGTTGTTGACTTCTTCAAATATATACAACCATTACTTAGGTTTTCTTAAAATTAAAGGAAAGTCCTTTCTTAGCACTCTCCATCCCCACAACATCCAGCAGTTGTAAATCAGTTGCGTTATCAGCTATCAAACTGTATCATCTTCGTAACACAGATTGTTTATATTGTATCCTCCAACTTTTATTCCTGCTTTTTCTTTAATTTCCCTCAAAATGACTTCACCATATAGAGAGAAAAGGTCTGGAGATAAGGCACATCCCTGTAAAACTCCTTGCTTTATCTGTTCAAAACTACTTAATTTATACCCACTTTTATTGCTGCTACTTGGTTCTAGTAAATATTTTTAATTATTTTGAGATCTTTCCCACTGTCGTGAAGTGAGCAGCCAACACTACACGATGGACGAGTCGTGAATCTGACTTCCCTACGCGGACAGTCAAATTTCAAACTTAAACCAGTCCGGAAGGGTATATAGTCCCTTATATTGATATATACCTTTATCTGGTAATATATTCATTTCTAGACCCTCTAGTTGCTTTAATAAATCTTCATTTTCAAACTTGCAACTGTAGGTTAAAGCTTTCTGGTATTTAATTCAGAAATTCCTGTAAGCCGGTTTACTCCTGAGGCATGAATACAGGGGACTTCTTTCCTAGTGACGCTAAACGTAGTTTGAAGCGGGCATTTTCTGCCTGACTGCCTAGAAAAACATATGTTCTCAAATGTGCCTCGTACATCTATACTTTGAGGAGGCTGCCTTTGGTGTCTAGGACATTTCCTAAGCTTGGGATGATATCTCGTTGGAGGCCAGGCAGTGAATCAGCAGTCCACAAAACCACCTACAAGGAAGTCACCTATGTCTAGGCCAGTGGTGG